AGCTTATTAATGTCTTAATTTTCACATCAAAAGGGAGAGCAGTGACTGAATCTGTGGATGTGTAGGGTGGACAATTCCCCACAATGAAGAATATGGAGGGACTTGTCTGAATGCTAAACAGATGTGAGACAGGGATTGATATCACAAACTTATTGGAGGGGTAAGTGAATTCCTTAGAAATGCATAAGATATGATTTGGGGACAGGCAGTGAAGGGCCTTAAAAATAGAGAACAGCAGTTCGCCTGATGTGACAGAGAATGACAAAAGAGTAGAAGGGTACAAACAGAGAAAAATATCTGTTCAGATGTTCAGAGCATTGGATTAATGCAGTGATGGTTGCAGAAGTATTTTGAGCTGTGTGATTACTCATGAAAGTTGGCTAAAAAGGTGCTACAGTGGTGGCAATACTAAAACTGACAATCTTTGTCTAGCTGTATGAGTAGTCTAACAAAACTAAACTTTAGAGATACATGAGAACGAATGTCTACACCATATTGCATGTCTCTAGAAAATCAGTTCTAAAGAGCTTGTACTAAAATCAGGGCCTTTGAAAGTCACATGTATTCTTATGATGCACCTTGTCCCATACTGCAGAACTTAGAAATGAGATGAAAACTGGGACCCTATTGAATTAGCAGCTGTACAAGTATATAGTAGTGTGGAGATCTCTAATTGCAACTTATTTTCCCTCTTTATTTATTTATTTATTTATTTATTTCCTCTTTGCAAGGGGACTTGTTGGGGTGAGTTGTGAAAGTCAAGGGCAGGAGAAGTGCAAAAATACTGAAGTACAGAAATGAGAAGAAAGATGGAAGAAACATTCAAAGGACAGATGTGCAGGGAGAACAAAAAAAAGCTACTATGGGGCTATAGGGATGTAGAGGCCAAAAGAGTCATCACAGAAAAGAGTCCCTTTTCAGAGCACAGAAAACACCATTGTGAGCTCAACTGTGACTGTGGGCCCTTGCTTTCACTGCTTGTGCAGCTGCTCCTTCCAGCTTGAGTGGGTTGACTCCTCCCTTGCTATTCCCTTGTGCTGACTGTAGAGCATATCTGAATGGCAGAGAGATTTGCAATTAAGAGAAATGCTTCACAGAGCTAAAAAAGCTCTAATTTTTGCTGAATGTATAGTTTTTTCCTCTTTTTTTTTTTTCCTTCTTTCTTTCTCTCCTCTCTTTCTCTCTTTCTCTTGTTCTGTCTTTCTGTCTTTGTCTTTCTGTCTGTCTGTCTTTCTTGCTTGCTTACATGCTTCCTTTCTTTCAGCCGATTCAATTAACAATTAAAAATTTTCAGGGGTGGTCACCTGTTTTTCCCAAGCCCTGGGATTTCATCCCTCAATCTGCTACCTAGCAAATAGGGTAAGGAGCATGATCTATCATTGCTAAGAAAGCTGTTTCCTGGGTACCTTCATATTTCTGCATTGCTGTAGGGGAATGACCTAAAAAAGAAGAACAATTGCACACAAATGCTTTGTTTTTCACCGGAAAGATCTTCTCATCTGCACCTATGCTCTCTCCATCCTTCCTGCATTTAGTGTATCAGGCCTGGGCAGGAAAGGCTGGGGGTGGCAGATGGGAGGCTTACTGTTGCTCAGTTTGGAAAGCAGCTCCTAACATTTGGCTCACACCTGTCAGCAGACTCCGTATACACTTGTTTATCCTCCTCTGTACCATATGTTTCTATATAAAATCAGTCCCAATGATCTATTGCCTTACTTCTATCACTCCTATTATGGTCGTAACTGAGCATTTCACAGTCGTTAATGCATTTACTCTGACAGTGTCCCTGTTGCGTAGGCATTTAATATCACCCACTTTGCAGATGGGTTAGCTGAAGCTCAGATCAACAGCTCCTCAAAAGTCTTTAGGCACCTCTTGTTGAAATCAATGGGCAGAAAACACTTCTCTGGCAGATGTGATCTTGGGAAAGCAAAACTACATGCTCAGTTTTACTCAAGGAACTTGCAGCAGAGTGAGGAATCCCTCTTCTGGGTCCCACGTGGATGCTCCAAGCACCAGGCTCTTCTTGGTTTCATGACACAGAACTGTTCCCTGCCTTTGCAAGACCTGGAAGACATGTGGTTCCTGGACTCCAGTCTTTTTTTACCCTTTGTCAGTAAACCCTTGTCTCACAACCCTTTATGCCTGTACCAAGTCCTGGAGGGGATACTCTCCCTGGAAGATTTAGTTTAAATGGTATATAGTTAAAAACACACTGGCCCTGTGCTGTGACAGTTGTACAGTTGTATAAGCCACCTCAAATGAGAAAAGTTGATATGAAAAAACAATATAAAATGCTTCTTCTTCTGTAGACGGTTTCTCCCATTTCCTCTATGCTTTGTATTCTTGCCTACCTCTCAGAATTTCTTTGCAGCCCTTCATATTTAAAGTCTATGTAGGAGAGGAATGGGGTTCTTTAAAATGTACTGTACGTACCTATCAGTCACCTACTTATTAATTATAACTAAAAGCATGATTAATCTGTCATGGATAAGGCTGCTAAGTAACCCTAATCATGCTAATGCATTTCTGTCACTTATACAAAAGGCAGCATTATCATCAGTTTTTACATCTGTGTGTACTGAAACCCATATACACAGCAGCTGCAGAGCACTGGTAATGTTCCTTCTGCCACAGATCAGATGAGGTTGCATCACGGATTTCTGCATTGCCCCCACAGTGCCTGTGTGGTGATTTATTTCCTCAACACTAGTGGGATTTAATGATGTTATCTTTTGTAAATAATTTTGCCTTCTAAGATGGATAACAATTACAGTCATGAAAAGTGTTTCCAGGGTTTTATAATGACTATAACTGAAATTCCTCTGTGGGAGGGGTCAGCATGAAGACCAAGGTGCTACTTAAGCCCTGCGCTGAGTGGGAGCTAAGATATGCGTAGGTCTTATACAAGTGTGAATATCTGAGGAAAACAATGTCTTCTGATATTGCAGAGCATAATGTGTTCCCTTCTGTGTTCTTTTTTTTTTTTTTTTTCTCTGAATTTTCAACAGATCCATTTTTAATAGCCTAGACATTGGAATGTTAATTTCCAGGTGCCAAACCTGAAATTTGTAACCACACCTGAAACCCTTGTGCATCCATCCTGTCAAGCAGTCAATGGGTGGATATGCTAAATACAGTTAAACAACATTATTTAACTTTTAAAATATTCTGAACAAAAGTTTTCCACAAAGAAAAGTTTCAAAGCTGACACCTCCAGAAAGCTAATTATAACCTGTGTATAAGGAACAGAAGACAGGTGGGTTACCCTTTGAAGGAACCATTCCACTGATGTCTCAGTGACCTGCTTAGACTTCATGTCCTATTTTTGGGTACAAAAAACACAACCATTAAGCTCATTAATTATGTAATCTGAGGAGAAAAAGCCCAACTTCAAATTTGTTTTACACATATACTAGATTTTGGTCAAATACAATAAGTTTTTTTGTTGTTATAAGAATTCTAGTGTAAACTCCCTGAAACTACAGAACTTCCCTGCAAGATGATGTCTTGAGGATGTAATCTGCATCCCTCCTGTGCTGCATGCCTCAGCAATCCAAAGAAAGAAACCATTTTATTTTTTTTTCATCTGAATAAGTGTCTAGCTGTGTGCAGGCAGGGTCTCACTCAGTAGGTTTCTGAGCACACAAACTGATGAAAGACTCACAAAAGTATGTAGTGGGTCACAGTTCTTTTGTTCTAAGCATTGCAGTTGCCAAGGCATGGTCAGTGCATGTTGAAAAAGTACAGGAAGATTGGAAAGAAAATATGTAATGCTTCAGAATGTGTAACGTGCAACTTTATAGTGTAGCTATTTGACAGAGTAATTTAATAAAAAACAGAAAGAGTCAAAAAGGGAGAGGGGGTTGAACAAGCCAATATTCCACACATATAAGAACATTTCTCAGGGAGAATGGTTACAAGTTTTGAAGAAAAGGAGCACTCCTATTAAAAAACAAAACAAAACAAAACAAAACAAAACCAACAAACAAACAAACAAAAAAAAACCAAAAAACTTTTCTATGGCTAGATCTTGGATTAGTGTAAAAATGGTTTACTTTTGTTGCACAAATGGCTCTGAAGAGAATGTTCTTTTTCATTATTCATTTATTTATTATTTTATTACTGCTTTACTACTGCTCAAAATTACCTGGGCAGCACCCTGGCTTAGAAAAACCTGTCTTTTAACGTATTTTTAAATTTATATATATATTTTTTTGGTATGTATCTTACAGTCTTGTTTAGTCAACTTCCATTTTTATTACTCTTTGGCTTTCACAGTTTTGTGACATACAGTACACAGCAAATTGTAGCCATTCACATACTTTATAATGACATACAGAAATTTTAAGATGACCATTGAATCTTGGAATACTCTCCCTAGCATAGCAATTTCACTCTCCTCTTGCAGAATTGTGCTTCCCTATCCTTTCTTATTAATAAACATGACATCTTTCTGTTTGCTTTCCTGTCCATCTGCACAGCTGTAGTCTTCTCTTTCAGCAACAGACAGTCACAATCTTGTTTGTCACAATAAAATACAGATTTTTTATTATTATTATTTTTTTAATCTGTATTTATGGGTAGCACACTTGGATTTTCCTTATGGAATAGAAATTAAAACAACACTGACATTTAGAATGTAAAGGAATTACTCCAACTGATTATAGTTGTGTTAAAATGAGTCATGCACTTTTGGGCCAAACTTCTTGACATACACATCTATATATATTAATCACTGTGACATCACTGCAGGACTATTTTTATCTTGGTAATAAAAGCTGAATGCATTTGTCAACTTTTCAAGTGATATTTAATACAGTGAGCATAAATACATATTAGGAAAGACACTCTCAAGTAATATAAGAGCTTGGTTCTACATGTCTGAAAATGCTGTGCATGTAGTGGCATGTAAAATATTTGCAGTTTTGAAATACAGGTGAAAACTACACTATAAAAATACAAAATAAATTAGGTTTACCAAGAAGAATTAAACTCACCTGTCAACAAAAGCATGGTGTAGTAAGAAGATAGGATCATTTGCAGAGCCTTGTACTTGGGACATGGAGCCATTCATGTAGATGTGAAGTGCATTATGCAAACCGCTTTGAGATATGTTTGATATTGCAGTGCGTGGATCAGCAAAGCCTGTATATTCAAGAGGAAATCATATGCTGATATGGCAATGCGTATAATTCTTTCTCCAGTAAGACTGAAGATCAAAGTAGCTAATTTCACTTCATTTACTTTCAGCTTTTTAGACAAGAGCTTCAGAAAACACGTAAAGGAGTGTTAATATATTTCAAAGGCGTAGCAAAGATGAAATTAGAATAAGCTAAATTAAAACTCCTGCCATGTAGCTAATGCAGCATGTCAGCAAATGTACTGCTTAATTGTCTTATATTTTTAAATTTCGTTGTCCATTGTGTCTGACTGTTAAAAGGAAACCTAATCCCTGGAGACATTTATGTATATACATTTATTCAGGTTGAGTAAATTTATTCATTTTTTAATATTATTTTTTATCTCTATACTTACACATTTCTAAGTTACAACAGGCTACTGTATCTCATCATATATGCAGTCATTTAATATCATTTTTCTCTACAGAATACATTCTTTCATCTATAAGTGCCAACACGATGTAAGCTATTATCTTTACAAAAGATAAATAAATAATTGACCAATAATCTTCTTCTCCATTTAGACTTGCAGGATTAAAAATTTGTGGACTGCAGTTAATTTGCAGTCTACTTAGAATATAGGCTTTGAAATAGTCACACAGATCAGCCCCCAGACTCTTAGCTCTCCTCCTTAGAAAATGCCTCACACACTTTAAACACACTTTATTTACTTATTTGGACCAAGAACTAGCATTTGTATGAGGAGCAGCAGTATTCTTTTGAAGTGAACCTCCTAACAGTCCTTCCATTTCCTGCAATGACTCACATCACAGGGCAATTTTTGACTTAGTACTATATTTCTTTTGGAGGAAATCTAACATCAGTGGGTGTTCAATTCACAGCACTGAACTAGAGTTAGTTTGAAAAAAAACCCTTTTCATCAAAACTCTCATATATAATATGGAAGTCAGGTACTAGTTTTGTTTTGCTCTTTGAATTTGCTTATCTTGTGACACAGAAAATATTAATTGATACATGCTCAGAGATGCTTTATCGGAAGAGTCATATTCTATGAACTTGGAAACCTGGGTTTCAGACCCCACTGAAACTGATCTGTTGTGTGAGATGTTTTCATCTCTTTGTACCTCTAAATTCCCTCATCAGGTTTTGCCTTGTCTATTAACCTCCTTGAGGAAAATCTTTTGGCATAAAGCCTTTACTAATCATACTAAGGATCAAATCATAGCTATAGTACCTAGGAAATAATATACGATAACAACTATCCATCTTTTTTGATTGCAACATTATCACAAGGATTTTGAGAAATTCAAGGGAATTCAGAGAAGAAAACATAATCAGGAGAACTGGAGGGGATAGACCTGGCTTATGATGAAATTTGTAAGACTTCAAGGTGGGGTTAATCTGGGTTTTGGAGAGAGAATCTTGTCACTGCATACAGATAACTGCAGGTGTTAAATACATCAGATGTGTAACAGGATTACTGAAGATACTGCATGGTGACATAAACAACAATGGGCAGAATTTCTCAAAGGGAAACTCTTGCCCACAGAAAGTTGTCTGATGGTGAATGCTATACTACCTAGCTGTCACCCAGGGGAAATAACAGGATAAAATATTACCAAGCATGCTGTTAAGAATAATGTACATTGACAATCTAACCAGAATTTATAGGAACTGATGGCAACGTTTTTGACCTTTCTTACTGATGGCTACAGCAGGTGATCACTGGGATCATCTGATGCAGCAATACCTCTTAAAAGTGAATCTCTGTGGATGTTAACTGAAAAAGATCTATCTGCATGTCGTTCTGAAACACTCTTCCTACTTACATGCAGCTACGTCATGATATATTAAAGGTAAGATAAACTTTATGCAGAGTCTAAGTAGAAGGATAGTTGTCTTATACCATATGTGGATACTTCTTAAAATTTCTTATTGCACTACAAATGTTTTATTTAGTAATTTAGAAAAAAATATATACAGAACATTCTGGTTCTGGACAACTTCAATGGAATTTCTGTATTTCTGCAATTTGTTGCAATGATCATGAGCTTTGTAAGTCAGACACCTTTGATAACCCTGGATTCAGTCAGTCTCAAAGGTGACATCATGGCTAACCATGCACATGAGAAGTTTGAATATATGATATCCTATTATGAAAACTCCATATAAGGAAGTCCATATAAAGCTATCATGAATAAAAACATAATGTGATATCACTTTATTTTTTTGCCTAGGTCTTAGTCTTTTCTCTCAGACTTTTTAAAAGACTTCAGGACAATCAGCTGTACAGGATAACACTATGAAGTGGGGTAGAGCCAATTAAAAATCATATGTGAGAACATGAGAATTTTTTCAAAGTACAGAACACTTTGCTGAAGTAGCTGCAGAAAAATCACCTTTATTGCAAATGTAAGGCTACAGATCTATATGCCTGCCTTGCCCCATGCTGTACCTTCACCGCCTCTCCTATGCATTAACTGCAGCTCTTGCCAGGCCTACCCTGAACTCACTAACCCGGCAGAAAACTACCCTGTTTTTATTCATTTTCTAGGCTACTGAGATGCAGTATCTTATATAAGATTATAATGAGTACTGGAGCTGGTACCAAAAAAGTGACTGACTGGAGGATGGAGGAGATTGCATAGACAATTAGGATTGCCCCCAGTGGTAGTGAGCTATTAAATCATCTGGCCAGTATAGGAAGCTGTAACATTCAGACATCGTTTTAAACTCTCATTTAATTATGGTGTATTAGAAATAGCCAGTAGGGGATACATCACTGAAGTAACTTAAAGTTTTACCAGTGCTCCTTTTTCAATGAGAAAAGAATCACATTTTTTTAAGAATCATAGAATCATTGAATCATAGAATATCCCCAGCTGGAAGGGACACACCAGGATAATTGAGTCCAAATCCTGGGTCCCCAAAGGATCACCCAAAAAATCAGACCATGTGTCTGAGAGTGTTGTCCAAATGCTCTTGAACTCTGGCAGGATCAATGCCTCAACCACTTTCTGCTCCTGCTCATAGCTTTGTAAGTCATTGACAGTGATTCAGTGAAGTTGAAGTAGGTTCACTGGAGCCAGGCCTAATTAAATCAGATTGGGAGTTAGCACAAAGTTTATTATAGGAGGAGCTAATTCTGTCAATCACAATTAAGGCTGCCTAACATTTTTAATATGATATATAGGTGGTTCTCATTAAACGTGCAGTTGGGGCAGATATATGTCCTTTAATAGAGTACTTAATTATGGTAACTACAGATTTTACTGTCTAATAACAGAAGCCATAGAAGTCCATGTACAAAGTCAAGGGTAAAGCGTTATATATTGTGAGCAAATAGTGTTTTCCTTAAGTGCTCATTGCCACTGGCCGAAGTGCTATATGTTTAGCAGAGGGTATTCAGAATTTTCAGAGTGTTAGCAGCCTTCAGTGCTACAGGAATGGAGAAACCAATCCAACAATCCTATCTCCTCTGATTGTTTTAGTGGGACTGCTTAAAATCTGTGACATCATTAATATCGCTGAGATATTTATAGCAGTTTAGCCTTTTTGTTGTTAACTGCAAAACTTTTTTTTTTCTTTCCTAACTGCAAAACTGACTTTCTTATACAATAAAATTTAGTTTTGTATGACTTTCTAGGTCTGTGGTTGTGGAAACAGAAAACTTAAAGGCCAAATTCTGCTTTGCATGTTGCTTTGTTGCACGTCCAATTCCAACCGACAGGAATACTTAGTCCCACCCTCCCTGGGGATTATATTTTCTTAAATAAATTTAGAATTGTCTAAATTCTACATTTTAGATAAGTTCAGGTCAGACAGATACAACTACTTTAAAACAGGAAGGAAGATACAGATATAAAAAAATTAAGGCCATATCCTTACTTGTCTTTGAAGCTAGTGATGTTCTTTTGGCTTATGAGGCTGACGTTTTTCAGCCATTGGCAATGTCAAAGGAAAATTTTCAGGGTTAAATCTTATATATTTTCTCAAGCAACATTATTGCTGTAATCTTTCCAGAGTAAGGTATCTACAGGAACAGCAATTTGGCCTAAGGTGCTATAGTAAATGAAAGTTTGTGGTTATTTAATTTAGACCATGTCACCATCTAGTTTTTACTTAAAATGATTCTTGTAGAGCTTCATTGTGGTCTGGGCTGAACAGATTTTCTGGTTCTCTGATAATGACCCTCTGTGACTTGCCAGCCCTTTTACAATGTGCAGCATAAATTTACCCAGAGATTGAGAATTTGAGCTGGGTGAGGGATGTTGGCTGTAGGCTAAAACTTTTTTAATTAGAACTTTTCTACTGGAAGACTTCATTTTGAGAAGCCATTTTTCATTAGCTATATGGATCACAGTGAAAATGCTGAGAAAAGTTTTCCACATGAAAACATCTCATTTCAGAAAAAGTAAAATGTCCTATTAAAATTAAATTACATTTTTGAAGTGTTTGATGTTTTATTCCATTATTTCATGACAGAATAGCAGTAACGATACATAATTGTGACAGACAATGAAATGCTATGACATGGCTTGACTTGATACCATGTGTTAATTCATGAACAATGAAAGTGAACAAAATCAGTTTTAGAATTTAAAAAAGCGAAACTTAGGAGGCACTGATTTTTATCTGAAATTTTCATAAACAAATTAATTTCAAATATGGAATTGTCTCACAAAAAAAAGGGAAATTCTAAACTTTTTGGTCATCTTTAATTTTTAGGAGGTAGTATTAATGTGTCACACCAAAACTGAACTGCGTAAAGAAGAAGCTCAACTATTCCAAGTGCAGTCAGCTAAGCTATTTCTGATCTTACCTGTTACTTACAAGGTGGACTGATTTTCTGTATTCTCTTCTTGAATCTGTGAAGTATCTGATACAGTCAAAAGTGCTTCTCATTTAAGCAAACCTTATTTAAAATATTACTCTTCAAGGAGCAATGTGCAACCTGCCTTTAACCTGATGGTTTTCAGTCAAAGTAGAAATTGTCCTGTCCCA